AGGTAAAAGAAAGATTCTTCCATACAGGCTAGGAGAGATACAACAAGTCACATGAATGTTCAGCATAAAAAAAGCACTAATACAGGAAAGGGGGAGGGGAGTACCTGAAGCAGCATGAAAACTACGGAGTGGCACAAGAGGCAAACTTAAGATGAACATTAAAGAAACAGTACATTATGGTAAAACGATATCATGTAACATGACAAGATAAATACGAAAAAAAATCAGTCTGCATAGTGAGCCAAGTGTCTCACTAAAGCTTTTGAATGAGACATTTGTCTGAAAGTGATGAATGTCCCTTTAAATAAATGTTGCTTAACAGTTTAAGCAAAACGAAATATGTGAGCGTGCCTTCACTAAATCGAAGAACGGCATATATACTATGAACAAACACCCATGCAAGGTTAGCCAATAAGTAGACATTAGCTGACAAAGCAATACAAAACACAAAAAAACAGGTTGCACTGAATACTGTGTGCATTAAGGTTAATAAAAACAATTATTTTGAAGATTCTGGGTTGAAATCGTCCAGGCTTCAATTGGTGAGGAGTATATGTAAAAAAACAAAAAATAACCAATAGTGCAGATAGTCAAATACTTAGTGTAGGACACACAACAAGGATACGTGGGATCACACTCACATTTGTTAGAGCTATAGACCAGCTCTGAGTAGAACAGCATACAGCGCTATAATCCTCACTGATGGATATGTAGCTCTTTACGGGTAAGTTTCAGAGCATCCGGATGAATATGAAAAAGTAAAACATAAAAAGTAAACAATAGTGCTTACTGAGTAAAACCAAAATCAGGTAAAAATATAAATGGTAATTTACTCACATTTAGTAGAGCAGTAACACCGCTCAAGAGATAGCACTTGGGTGGTATGATACCTACCAAGGATTTAATGTTGAGTAGATTCTCCTGAAGGCAATCCTTGCCAGGAATTGGATGTAGAGCAGAGTAGATACTTCAAGAGTTCTAAATTTGTCAGTAACAATAAAAAACAATAAAAATAACAAAAAGCAAAATAAATGGTCTTTCATTATAAAATGGGTGTAAGCCAAATAAACTTTGGCACGGATTGGATGTAAACGTAGCTGACAAAGCATCATGGGAGATGTGGGTCTAAATCAGCTGGAGAGCAAACTTTTAATGACATGCTTTTCATTCATTTTAAAGCAGTGTTGTCAACTACACCTCCCCCTTAAAACATGAGTATTTCATAAAGATTGAATCTTTATGAGATACTCATATTGAGTGTGTTGGAATTTCACTGAGACAAAGACCATTTCCTCCGCCTGACTTTTTTTAGACTCTGTACTTAGCTACAGAGTCAATACCGACAGCCGTCCCCAGTGACGGCTGCAGGAAATTCGCCTGTGTCTATGCAGGATCCCACGGCCTCATGGGATCCTCCAGAGGCCTTAATGTTGTACTCTCGCGCATGTACAAGAGAACAGCAGTGATGTCGGCTCTGGAACAATACGGTGGCACCCGGGAGGGACAGGTTAAGATAAGTAAATCTCTCCTTTACCTGCTTCCCCCAGCCACCGGAACCCAGCGATGATGTCACCGTCGGGGATCTCTACGTATTCTGAAAGACCCCAGATGGTGATAGTGCCATTTTAAAGTGGCAACCAATTCCACAAAAGTGTGTGATGGCTATAAAACTGCTTAGTATATGCCTTAAATTTTCTTTGAATGGAAGCTCATTTATTATGCTAAGGATAGGAAACCATACCTCCCTACATTTCAAATGGACAAAGAGGGGCGCTTTAATTTTAGGAGTGTGAGTGGGGGTGTGGCTTTGTTCTAAGACATTTTTGGTGACTTATTAATAACAAAGACTGATTTCTAAACACATTTATTGTAGTTGAGAGACACATTACTCTGAGTATTATTGCTGTGGAGCTCTGTTATACACTCAGGCACACCAACAATATGGGGCTCTTTGAAAAGAGGGATTTGGGCCCAAAATAGGGACTATCCCTCCTGCATAGGGACACTTGGGAGGTATGAAACTTTGACAAGGAAATTTCCTAACTTTGGACTAAAATAGTTGGAAAAGGTTTAGTTACATCAGCTGTTTTAGCCTACAATGTCCAATGTCCTCATGAATTCCATACAAATTGTGTAACTGACAGATTAGTGAAGCAAACCATGTAATAATGAACTGCAATTCTTATGACGTTGCAGGTGTATCCTGGGAGTTGCAGTCCACTGATGCCTGTAGATCTTGAACCATTTCAGTCATAGTACAGTAGAAATTTCAGGCTGTTTCCATCAGGCATGACAAAGGCTGCTTGTTAGCTATCAAAGGGTAGATAGCATTAAGGGTCACAGAAGGGATACATTTGCAATTCATTCATCCATTTATTTGCAGCGGGGGAAAAAAAACAAAAACAATTTTCTTTCTAAAAGCTGAGAGATAAAATGTCCTGTCAGTTATCAAAGCACTTAAATACAAAGTGGTTTATATTTGATTATTGTGTTTTAAACATATTCCAAAATGAAATATAAGATATGAGCACTGTAACATATTACACATGCTTATGTACAAATGCGTCTTCATAGTAAAGGAGCACTCCAAGCGCCATAAGCATGAAAGTGCACTGTAGTGGTTATGGTGCCATAAGCATGCCCTCCTCCACCCCTCCATTGTACGAAGTCAAAGCAGCCATTATCCTCCACCACTTCTTCCTATGACTTTATCTGAGCTAAGGACATCTAGAGCAGTGCTTCCCAACCCAGTCCTCAAGGCACACCTACCAGTCCAGGATTTAGGGATTACCCAGTTGTGTCTAAGGTGTTTTTCAAAGAAGAAAAAAAACACCTTAGACACAACTGGGTAATCCCTAAATCCTGCACTGGTAGGTGTGCCTTGAGGACTGGGTTGGGAAACACTGATCTAGAGCACCTGCTTGTACATACTCCGTACAGCTGCTTGTTCTCCAATTTACTTGCATGAAGGTGAACGCCATTTTCTTGAATGAAGGTGAACGTGACTTTACAGTAAATATATTATTATTATTATTGGTATTTATGTAGTGCCAACTTTTTTCCCAGCACTTTACAATAAGTAATATAATATAATTAGTGATGTCCCGAACGGTTCGCCACGGACGGCGAACCGTTCGCGCTGTTCGGTCCGCCCCCTATGTCATCATTGAGTAAACTTTGACCCTGTACCTCACAGTCAGCAGACATATTCCAGCCAATCAGCAGCAGACCCTCCCTCCCAGACCCTCTCACCTTCTGGACAGCATCCATTTTACATTCATTGTAAAGCTGCATTCTTAGTAAGCTGTCCAGGAGGTGGGAGGGTCTGGGAGGGAAGGTCTGCTGCTGATTGGCTGGAATGTGTCCAGCCAATATAATATAATGTTAAAAATGTAACAACACAATATATAATGTTAAAAATGTAACAACACAGTTTTCTGCTTAAAAGGGACACTATAGGCACCCAGACTATTTCAGCTCATGAAAGTTGGTCTGGATGTCTTGCCCCCAGGTCCCTTAACCCTGCAAAGTCAATTATTGCAGTTTTTTAATAACCTGCAATAACAACCTTTATGGGTTAACTCCTCCTCTAGTGGCTGTCTACAAGACAGCCACTAGAGGAAGTTCCAAGTCATTAGGTGACTTTTTGTCACCTAGGCGACGCTGGACGTCCTGACGCTATGCACGAGGATGTCCAGCGTCACCCAAAACTACATAGGAAAGCATTATACATGCTTACCTACAGGGGAAGTTCTAATGCCAGCTTGGCTACCGCCGCGCGCGCAGATTAGGTCCCTCCCGACGTCTGACGTTGGCAGGGGAGGATTGGAGGTGAGCCCAAGACAGTGCCGGGGGATTTTAACCCCCTTCTGCACCACAGATTATTATTAAGGGGAATTTTGTTGTTAAATTCACCTTAATAAAATTGTAAAGTGCTGCAGAATCTTTTGATAATAATATAATGAAAACAAATTATGACATTATAAATACTCCCTGATCAAGATTTAAGTGTAATGCCTGTGTAAGTCTATGTTTTAGTATATTATATATGTTAAAATGCATATTCAGATTGTAGTGAGTATTCACAAGAAACAGTAGCAATCTTATGTGACTATACACACACCCCCTTGCCCCCACAAACACACACTAAAAGATATTTAATTTTAATGTGTTTGTTAGTGTGCAGTGAATTTAATATACATTATTTTGTGTAGGTACCTGGCAATACGTTATCCACTACGTTCCAGGGAGCTTCGAACACCTAAGAATGCATTAATGGCCATCACTCTCATCTGGAGCCTATCCTTGATTTTTTCTGGCCCATACCTCAGCTACTACCAAGAGTTCCAGACAGACAACCTTACTTTGTGTCATCCTGTATGGCAGATTTCCCATCGCAAGACTATGGACCTTTGCACCTTTGTGTTCAGTTACGTTATTCCTGTGCTCATCCTTGGCCTCACCTATGCTCGTACAATCCGCTACCTCTGGACTTCTGTCAATCCCATCGACGACAGGTCTGAATCAAAAAGGGCCAAGAGGAGAGTGACCCGTATGATCATCATTGTGGCTGTTTTGTTTTGCCTGTGCTGGTTGCCTCACCACTTGGTCATACTTTGTGTCTTGTTTGGTTACTTTCCCCTCAATAATGTCACTTATGCCCTCCGTATTCTCTCCCACCTAGTGTCTTATGCTAATTCCTGTGTCAATCCAGTGGTGTATGCTCTAGTATCTAAACACTTTCGCAAGGGGTTCCGCAAAATATTCCTTTGTCTTCTGTTTCGACAAAGGTCAGCCAACAAGGTCCATGTGGTCCCTACTGTCCATGCTGGTGTCAGCACACTAGAAGCAGCATGCACGGAAGTGACCCAGCTCAGTGAGGGTCACATGCATTGCTCTGCCTGCTGCCAAGATTCTAGAAGCACCTGGGAGGAGACAGAAAGGATTGGAGATAAGGGAGCCCAGACATTCCTCCCATTTAATGCAACATAGTGAGCCATGGGAGTATGTATTTCAGAACTTGAAATTTACTTGCTCAGAACCATCTAAATCCAAGATCTATGGTTGAATATGGTGGATAAGCCCATATATATACACGTGAAGAACTAGAGTGTCTATAACACCATAACCAGCAATGACAGCTTTTTAAAAGGTGGACATCATTGAACAGAATCAACACATTCTTCTAATACCATGTCTATGCTTTCAAGTATTTACAAAAGCAATGCAGGCTGCTTATTGTTTAAGTATATTTCTTCATCCACACAAGCACTATAGCTGTATCCACACAGTTTGAAACACTATTATTTTTTTAAATTACATTAATATTGTTATTTTGTGTAAACACTAATTAAATCCATTGTTTTAGACATATTAAATAATTAATACCAGTATCTACATAGAATATTGTCACTTTTTAATTTATATTGACCATCAAAATGATATTTATTTTTTTCAAAATTTCTGGTTTATTATAATTGCCCTTTTTCCGTTTTATATAGTTCCAAGATATTCTACACCAATAAACAGTTTAATTACACTAATTGGCTGCTGTCCATGCATCACCACATAGTCAATTAATTTGTTGTAGTTATACTCTGTATAAATGCTGTGAATAAATTGGAGGGTGCATATCATACTGGCTAATGCATAACTGTTATATTTCCCAACTCAATGCAGATTGAAAGCAGCAAACAACACATATTTCTGTTTTTCTTAACCTTTGAAACCTTTTTTCCATCAAGATGGGTTCTTCTATCTCAGATGCCCTGAATGCTTCTTAATTGTCTTTGTAATACCTGTAAAAAAAAAGAAATACTACAGATAAGTACTTTATCGCCAGAGTTCTGCCACTATGCAGAGACATTTACACCAATTTCTCACTTAAGAGTTGAAATCCTATTCTTTTAGCAGGCATGGTCCCGAAGAGTGCTTTCACGTCAACCCATCCAATAACCGAGCCATGCAGGGAAAGCTGCGAATCTCTTAGTGACACTCTGGCATGCCGCATGGAACTCTCCATTGGCTAAGACTTTAACCAGGTGGTGATTCAAAACCATGAGTGTGACAAGAGGGCTCTTTTGACTACAGGGAGGTGGAGGGGAGAGCTTTCTGGGGATATAAGACACATGTAATTTCGTATGTTCTGGGGTATATTGTAATGCCACCCTGATGTCTAGCGGATAATTGACTTGGCATTTACTGATCTGGTTATCTCCTAGACTCAGAGGCGCCAGGGTGGGATTTACATTGTTCAAGCCATGGACCCTCTGTTGGGGTCATGTGTATAAAAATGTGCCTTGTTCTCAATAAACCAGTTCTTATTCACGCTTCAGTAAGTATTGACTAGAGTTGGATGAGATAGCTGTAACAGCTAGAATCACTCCAGGTATCGAGTGCTGAAACTCAACTTTGAGCTCCGTCACAATGGGAAAATCACATCTGAGCTTATTGAATCTGAAATTAAAGAATGGACAGAACTGGGCAGTCTTAAAAAATTTTCTTATCCCTAACCTCCTCTTATCAAATACAAATATGATCTATTTTGTAAGTGATATGGAAAAATCTGGCACCTTTTCCTATGTTTGACCTCATTTCTCTGGACCAGGGATACATAGATTTAATTGGATACGTATACTGAGTGGTGTGCAAAACCAATTCCAGTGGAAGGTGGAGCGCTCAGAAGGTTGGAAATAACTTACCCCCCTTGGAACTCTTGGTAACCTAAGGGGGGATAGAGAATCATAGTGTGGAATGTATAAGAATAATGCGAGTGAAATAACTCAATAGGAATTCACTCACGTGGTTCTGAGCCTAGACAGGACAAGCTCAGATCACTCAAGCGGACGTGTATTTGAGGAGACACGGATCCTTTAGATGATGTTCCTTATATTCTCCCTCTGGAAAAGTGACAAATGCCAGTATCTAGGGTAATAAGTCTAAGGTACCAATATATGTAGGTGAATAAATAAAATTGCTCACCTTACATAGAGCCTTGAACTCGGCTCTAAGTTAAACAGCACATGTGTCAATAAGAGAACATATACCCTTCTTTGAATGTACAGAAACTCTGGATGCTGAATGCTGGATGCCGGAGAAGGTGTAGTAAAAAATGAAATTTATTAGATAAAAATACAAAATATAAAACAACAAACAATAATGGCCCAAAATAAAAATTAAATCCTGTGGATGGTCCCGAGACGCGTACATAGATTTAGGATGGGGGAAATTTAGATTTAGGAATACTAAGTGTTGGAGATTATAAACATCATTTTAGGGTGTATGTGAACTCCAGGTGATGTAGGCTGTTACATGCATGGATCCCTAAAACCCACAGAAACCCATCTGATAGTGATGGGAGTTACAACCCACAGGATCTCCTGTGTCCACGTGTATGTATAGTCCAATCTACCATATTCATGAATATGAATACCAAATGTGTCCTTGATTAGGCTATTACATAGGACCTAGAGTGGTAGAGCCCTCGATGCAATGCCACATGACTTTTATTGATTGCGCCAGTGGAGGCCTTTCAAAGTGTCTCCTTTAAAAAAGGTATACAGGGTCAACATTTACATAGATAGTTAGTACATTTTAGTGATGCACTAGGCCCTGCAACATTCTAGGACACTATTTTGAGGGCTTTAGGGGCCTTTATATATTGTGGGGCTTAAGAGCATCATGAGCCACAATCTAACCTATGATCCATCTCAACAATATCAGGGTGAAATCATATCTGATAAAACTTTCTTATGTGTCAACCAAAGAGATAGTAGGGTAATGGAGTGGAGATCAGGGTCAGGTACAAGCAAGTAGGTGAAAGGGGAGTACCAAACAACCACAAACATTCAAACATTTAAATTGCATTAATAAGTAAATGCATTGGAAATGTCAATATCAACAGTGGTCAACCACTATGTACCAGAGTACCGTAATAAAACACATTACAGTGCTGTAAAACAAAAGATGTAAGGTACTCCATTCTGAAACATAAAGGTCCATGCCTCTAGTGACATTTAAATCTCGCAATGTTTTAAAATGAGAGTGCCAAGGCACCCAGATCAGTTCATTGAGATGAAGTGGTCTGGGTGCCTATAGTGTCTCTTTAAATTGTCCCTCTTTCTCCATATGAACTGTTGGGAGGTATGTACCTGTATATATAGATTCATTAATTAGCAACCTTTGAAATTGACTATCAACTTAAGAAATTGCTTATAGGGGTCATTTCTCTACATTTAGTGATGAAGCAGATAAATATTACTTATAATCACTAATCACTTACGATTGATCCAATGTAGTCAGAGTTTGATTATTCACATTTCCTGATCGATTCACTATATTTGGAGATAAGTGACCCACCATGAAAGATTGACAGTATTCACCATCAGCAGATAATCAAGGAAAATGGAAATTACAGCTGCCGGATAACTGGTGATCTGCCAGATTAGGTTATTGTATTGCAAAATAGGCAAAGGGCGCATTGCCTAAAATAAAGATTTGCACTATGTGCTTAAAAGCAACAACATGTCAGAATTTGGATTCAGACTGCACATTTACTTCCTGGGTATATTTCAAGAGAATATAGTTTAAAGGAAAACTACAACCACCCTACACACTGCCCTCTCCTCCTCCTCTGTGTAAGGAGTCAAATAATTTTTGAATGGCTTGACTTCTTATCCAGAGTTCGCCTAGCGCTACTATTACGGCAGAGAGCCAGAAGTTCTAAGCAGGAACTTCCGTTAGCTCTTCTGAGCTTATCTCATTCGCTAAGAACTATTAGAATGCTTACAAATTTCCATCTCTCCGGCTTTAGTAATTGAGGACCCAAGGTGAGAAGTCAGATTGTTCAGAAATTACTTGACTTCTTGCACTGGGGGTGCCAGGAACAGTGAGTTGTAGTGGTTATGGTACAAGAAGCGTACCTTTAAATATACCTACTCCTGTGATTATTCAATTCAACAACTTTGTGAACAGCTACAGCAGCACTGTCATGCCCTTCTGAAAAATTTGTATTTCATAAAGATGCAATATTTCCAACTGAAATTCCAACCCAGTCAAGAGATATACAGAAACAAAATAGGGACGACTTGGTTTGTATTTCTCCTCTGCTTGACACAATGCGGAGCCTAAGTGGCAATCCCTGCAGCTGCCATCACTGACAACTGCAGGGAATTGCCTGTGTATGTGGAGGATCCCGAAAGCCACATAGACCTCAATACTGTACTCTCGTGCATTTCTGAGACTACAGCAGTGACGTAGATGCCAATGAGGACTACGCAGGACCAAGATGGTGGCGCCTGAGAGGGACAAGTTAGGGTACGTAAACTCACCCTTTACCTGCCCCCTTGGCCACCGGACCACCAGTGGTAATGTTACTGGCAAGGGATTTCTTGAATTTTCAAAGTCCCCAAATGGTGACAATGCCACTTTAAAGGACCAGTATAGGCACCCAGACCACTTCAGCTTAATGAAGTGGTCTGGGTGCCAGGTCCATCTAGGACTAACCCTTTTTTTTTTATAAACATAGCAGTTTCAGAGAAACTGCTATGTTTATATTAGGGTTAATCCAGCCTCTAGTGGCTGTCTCTTGACTGATTTTCACAGTGAGAAGACACCAGCGTCCATAGGAAAGCATTGTGAATGCTTTCCTATGGACCGGCTGAATGCGCGCGCGGCTCTTGCCGCGCATGCGCATTCAGCCGAAGTGGAGGAGAAGAGGGAGGAGAGGAGGAGGAGAGCTCCCTGCCCGGCGCTGGAGAAAGAGGTAAGTTTAACCCCTTCATCTCCCCAGAGCCTGGCGGGAGGGGGACCCTGAGGGTGGAGGCCCCCTCAGGGCACTATAGTGCCAGGAAAACAAGTATGTTTTCCTGGCACTGTAGTGGTCCTTTAATGGAAAATTGAGAGGATGACATAAGCTATCAAAAAACAGATGTCATGTGTCATAAATAACTCTAGTTTTTGTAGACATAGTAAATAACTGTACTCTCTGAGTTGGGTAACCATTTTCATGCCAGTTTTGGTAGCCTTGAATCTCCCATGATGCTCAGCAAACTCCTTGAAACCTAAATACTAGTTATCAATGCTCTTTATTGCTCGCCCACCCAGTGAATTTTTTCCTGTGTGCTCACAGTTACTGCCTGTGTGTTAAAGCATGCAAAATTCACCAGAACCCTGTGACAATAAACTTTATGAATTCTTTGGAATTAATAAAATCCCTCATAAACTTGCCAC